CTGGTTTCTACTGGTTTCTCTTGGCTTCTCTGCTGGTTTCTCCTGGTTTCTCTCATGGCTTCTCTTGTTTTCCTTGCACAGTTTCCCAAATGCATAGTCAGATTTTAAGAGCTTTAGTTCGTCTTTACAGTCTCATCTTTGAGGGTAACTCTTGCTTTAAAGATATTACCCAGGGAGGGAATAGAAGGGAGATATAACTGACGCGGTTCGCCCTACCATATGATTATACATGCTTTGCAGACGAGTACTCCATTTGTATATAAGTAGTATTTGTCTAATGTACATTTACTGCGTATACAATAACCTATTCTGAACATTTCATATACAAATGGAGTACTCGTCTGCAAAGCATGTATAATCATACGGTAGGGCGAACCGCGTCAGTTATCTCCCTTCTATTCCTTACCCCCTTTTGCTTCGTTTTCCGCAGTTGATCAATCTTGGGCACAACCAAGATTTACAGAATATACCATACTCAGATCGGTTTTTTTTATTTTCGTACTGACGAAGAGAATAAAAACGTTAATATTAGAATGTGTTATATATTATCTGATGGAAAAATACGATTTTTAAAATCATTTAATCATTTTTTATTCAAATTCGTTTCAAAAATAAGTTAAAAAATAAAAAAAAACATTTGTCGAAACTTATTTGATTCTCTCCAGTTTTATATATGAAGTTTCGAATGTGCTAGTAGAACCCTCTAGCGGTGATAATTTGAACTTATAATTCGGTTATTTAAGCACGGTAGTCCATCTATAGTATCTTTAACATTTTCATAATATTCTTATTTCTTTTTTTTTTAAATCCAAAGTTTGAACTGGAAAAACTAAAACTTTGAAGATTTTGTTTCATGTATATCCAGTTTCCCTTAACCCTCCCTGTTGTATAAATTTGCGTCTGTGATTGGTCAGGTTTTATTACTGCGCTGCTCTGATTGGTTACTTTGCAGGGCATCGAGCGTGTGAGGCCGCGAGGCGGGGAAAGCTTCACTTCAGCTTTTACAGCTGATTTGACTGAACGCCGCGCTAAAAGTATAAGTAAGGGGGATGAATTTTGCAGATCCAGATTAAATTATTTTGGTGGGATGCCTGCTTAGAGACAAAAAGAAACTGCAGCTGTATCTAGGGTGGGGATCGAGGGATGGTATATTTTTCGACCTACGAAAATCCGCTATCTTACCTTCTGACCACCATGAACCCTCAAATAATACAAAAATAAACAGCTGGCGTAGGTCCAATATTTCAGTAGGTCGAAAAGTTTATAGGTCAGAAGTTCAGTAGGGGATGTTGCGTATATAGAGGGTGTAACAAATTACCGGGGGAGGATGAGTGTAAGATTTGATATCTGATCAAATCCAGTAATACAGAGTTTCAAATGATTTTCTTTTTTCATTTTTAGGGCTAAAATAGATACGTTTTTCACTTTTTGTTTTATATTAACATTTCTTAAACTTAAAAAAATATTTTATTAATTTTTTAAAAATAAAAAAGATTTGATTTTTGATTTTTTCATTTTTTTTGCGGACAAAAATCCAAAGTTCTTAAATTAATTTATTAATATACCTGCAAAATATTGCATTAAACAACAATAAAAGGCATTTTTGGCAACGTTCTAGCTAAAGAAAATGTAATTTAATCTTTTGATTTATACCTATAACCCGAAAACCTAAAAATACATAGGTCTATATATATATATGTATACATTTACTAGGTATATTTACGTAAACATTCGTATTTTCAACTTTTTAATCAGTTTTTATTGATCAGTGTTAGGTTCTCCAGAACGAATAATTGCGTTTACTTTTTAGCCAAATAATTATTTTAAGATTTTTAGGGTTTTCATTTACGTATATTCTTATACCTATTTTTCGATTTTCTATTTATTAATTTTTTTAAAAGTTTAAGGCAAACCTAAAAATAAGAATATTTTGTACCAAGTAATAATACATCGTACATCATTTTTCGCTTTTTTCTTCAGTTACGTATTTTTTGTAAAATTTTCTTACCAAGTAATTTTCCAATGTCATGATGCAGCTGTCTCCGATATATCTCTGAACTCTTGAGTGGCAAAATGGAAAACCCTGGATGATTTTGCCGCGTTCTCAGATGCCTTTGAGGACGATTAAAGAAGTAGATCTATCTAGTGAAGAGAAAAGGATTGCATCTCAAGAGCTCAGAGATTCAGTCCTCTACAATGATCTCCCAGAGATGATCCCGCGTGTCTCCGAGAGGTATAGTTCTCCAATTATATATACGATCCAAATAAACTTCCTGGTCTTCAGCTGTGAGAGTTTTGTCCTTGTTCTCCGAGCTTGCAAGCCCTCTTGGTCTCCACCCGGGTTTCCTCCTCCGGCTCCGATAGATCCCATCACATGTATTTACCCTTTTCTCCGCTCCTATCGACCTCATCTCTCCGATATGGATCTCCGACGAAGTGAAAATTATTTCTTCTACAAAGCTACACTGGAAGTTATTAAACCTCATGAAACCTCAACTGCACAAAAATGCATTTAAGTTAGAATTTAAAAATATTTTATGATCTTTTTAAGAGAATTGTTATGTAAGAAATTTAATGCAAACGTTTTGGTGAATGCAATGTTTCTAAATTGCTATCATTTTGGAGTAAATTGATGTTTTCATTTGAATCAATGTTTGTAAATTCTTGATATTTTGATAAACTAAAGTTCTATTTTGACAGTCTTGTTTCCAACGTAATAGATTATTCACTTACGCGAAATTACGTGCATTTATCATATGAACTTAAAAAAAATGATAATTCAAATGAACATAAAAATATTTCAAATGAACGTAAAAATAGTTCAAATGAGATAATTCATTGCACATAAAATTTCAAATTTGAATTCAATTTTTTCGTTAATTTGAACAATTTTTTCGTTCCTTTGAACAACTTTTTTTGTTCATTTGAACTATTTTTTTTTGTTTATTTTAACAATTTCTATGTTCTTTAACTATTTCATTTGAACAATTTTCGATTCTTTCAATTCAAATAAGCGGTTATTTCCTAGTATACGATTTTTGGACCCCAATTTATAACTATATTCATGCTCATTTGAACTATTTTCATGTTCATTTGAACTATTTTCATGTTCATTTTAACTATTTTCATTTTCATTTTAACCATTTTTAAGGGTCAAAACGGAAAAAAATATTTTAAGTATAAATTCAGGGTTTGTTTAGGTTAAGAAAATTTCTGGACCGAGCGCTGCGACTAGAACAGGCTTTTTTATTTTAGATGAAAAATATTTTTATTAACAAAATCAAACATATCAATGTGATGAAAAATACTGAAATACATATCCAATATAAATTTTTTTTGACGAAATTAGTTTTTGTTGTTTTAAAGCTCTTTATTACGAAAAAGAACAGTAGAAAAATTAAAATTAGAAAAAAGAACTTTTTTCCAAAAACCAAAGGAATTCGAAAACTTTGGTTTTCAGGAACTTGAAGATTGTAATTAAATGTTAACAATTATAAATGATTCTCACTATTTTAAAAATGCTCAAAATGCCACCAATTTCGGGAAATTTATATTGATACCCTCAAAGTAAAGATAATAAGGTTTTGCCCGAAAAACCAGTTCTCATGTAAATTTCGAGGATTTCATGAATATTTTTTTTTGTATATTTGATTGTCCAATATAATGACACATCAAATTTTGTAAAAAGCGGAAAATAATTTTAAAAATCCGGGAAATCTTTCATCACTCTGTAACTGTTTAATGTGTATTTAATTTAATAGTTCCATAAAATTGCGGTATTTTGAGCATTTAATGTAGGAGATTTTTTTATTAGATTATACTATATAGTGTTCATACATAAATATTACAAATAATGCATACATTGTCTTTCAAATAGTTAACCCAACTTCTATCCATTAAATTTTTTATAACGTAGATAGAAACTGCAGAACAATGGGAAAATAGATATAAAGGTAAAATTTTATTTTCAGAAAACCACACAGTGAATAGAAAAAAACACAAAATCCGCGCATTTCTTGAAAATCTGGAGTTATATTTTTTTAAATGCATACGAATCCAAAAAAGTATTTACTAGCAAGTTAAAATAAAAAAACACAAAATTGGCACAAACTATTTGAAAAAAAACCGCGTGACTATTGAGCAACAAAAATATTTAAAAATGTAATAAAAATAATTGCAGTATTATAAAAACAAACTGAAGAATTTTTTTCGTAAAATTTTATCTAATTTTATGAATTAATAAAATTATCTATCAGGGAGGTTATCACAAAAATGTAATTACATCTTTCTGGACAGATAAAAATTTAAAAAAATGTTTTGAATTTCATTAAGCCTTTAATTTTTTTTCTAATTTTGAGATCAGCTAGAAAATTGGAAAAACTAAGAAATAGATTGAATTTATCAAAACCTGAAGTCTGAAAAAAAACCTTTGAAAGTGGGTAATAAAATAGTATAAGATCCAATAAAATCCAATAAAATCGAAGAATACTTAAGGTAAAAATATGTGAATAAACATCCAAAACTTATAAGAATTTTTTTGAAACTAAGAAAAATTATGTCTTATAAATGAAGTTGTTAAAAAAATCATGATAATTATAAAATAAAATAACTAAACTTAAAATTATTTATAACTTATATTAATAGTATTTGTATGCGATGACTAATATATGGAAGATGCTGTAATGGAACACATATTTATTATCAGATTTTATTTAAATATATGAAACCATAATTATTCACTGCAAATTTTATACAAGAAAAAAAGATAAAATTTTTTTTTGGAATATATATATTTTTTAATGTCAGTTTGTTGTTACGACAGTTTTCTATTTTTTTTTGTTGGTTTTATCATCGATTGTTCGAATCAAAATTCTAAGATTTTATTTGTACATTGTCAATTTGATCATTTTAGTCAGATTAATCGAATATTTTCTTAATTTCAATAGGCATATCAAACCAATGAACTGGAGCAAATTAAAGTCCTAGAAAATGCGTTTCTAGGGGTCTATACAAGAGAGATTAGAGATTTGACTGAATCTGATCTTGAAATTTTCTTCCGTCGGCGGTGTAGATAATTTTCTGTAAGTTTCTTCAGTTCGGAGAACACAAAAATAGACGAGGTCAGTGCAACAAGGAAAAGTAAATCTGAAAAAAATGCATGAATTTTATTAAAATATATATTTGAATATTGTAAATTGAAAATTGTAATTACCCAAAAAGAAGAATAAGACTTCAGAGACTATTTTACAATTTTTTTCTATTTTGAAAAATAATGATGATCTTATCATAGATTTTTAACTTAAATCAAGTAAATTGCGTATCAATACATATCGACCCTTTAAACTGTAGAATGGGGAGACGGCCCTTGAACTTCAGTTATGTGTGTCCAATGAGCTAGAAACAGCAAATTGTTCAGTGTACAGTGTACGTAATTTGAAACATACGCAAGGTGAGTAAAAAAAGGTGTGATTTGCGGCGCCTTGTGCAAAATTGTACCTTTTTGTGCATCTATCCTGTATGGCCATTGAAGTACCAAAAAAAAATACAAATTTTCATAAAATATTGAAAAAACACCATACAAGAGAGTTGCACAAAAAAGTAACAATTTTGCACCAGGCGCCGTAAATCACACTTTTTTTTGCCTCACCCTGTATATCATTATATTATCATTAAAGTTTATTGACTGTTAAGTTCTTAATGTTAAAAAAATTTGACGTATCCAAATTGAATTATTTGACCATTTGATAGCATACCTTGTAAAGCTAGAGCCTCAGTTTGGAAAATGTACTGCAAGGGGGGAGCGTACACAACCAGAAGCTGACCCACCAGCGAAAACAGGACTGCCAGGCAGAACGCTTTGTTGGTAAACAAACCAATTGTAAACACAGATTTCGTCTGAGATCTAAAAGTGTACAATATAAAAAAATTAAATGTATTTTTAATTTTTTTTTTAATGTTTGCCATAAATCATCAAGTCACCTCCCCTCCTTCAAATACACTTGTGCAAAAAAAATATCAATATAGAGATAGAATTAATTTCCCCCCCCCCCCCCGCTGACGAGTGTTGATGGAAAGAGATTAGAAATTACTTTTAAAAGAGAAAATCATAATAATGAAGAAAAAATCAAGAAAATAAAAAGTGATATCAAGATGGGGGGGGGGAGAGGGTTGAGTTATTAAACACCTCTTACAAAACATTTATTATATTTCTTACAGATGCAAAATATGTAGCTATTATAATAATGATGAATGATGATACTTAACAAATACTTTCAAGCTATTTTACTTCTTAATTGGCAGTAAAAATAACAACAAAATAGGGAGTAAAAAAAAATTTCAAAATTTCAAAAATCTCAATTTTTCTACTCTGCCACTTCTAGAAAGTAAATAAAAATATTCCTTAATTATATAACAGTAAACACAGTATTCAACAATCAGATAAATCAGGAAAAGTCTGTCATCCTTGATCAGTCAAAGGTTTAAAGCGTAAAGTTGTGAATCTGGACTGTTCCTCTTTATTTAAGTTTACTGTCCCTTTAAAGGGACTGTTAAGGAAAAATGAAAGGGAGTAAAAGCTGAAACTTAAACACTAGAAAATCTAGAACTCTAATTTTTTGTTCAAAATAGCTCAAATTTTTAGAATCGGCAAATTTTAGGCGAAGGCATTTTTTCTCAAAAAAAAAAAATATTCTGTGCGCGCACCAAACTGGGCTATGGTGGGCGCGCCTGACATTCATCAGTTGCAGGACAAAATTTCATTATAGATTGTTGAAATTTCTAGGATTTGCCCATGAAGATATTTTACAATTTTTCATACTCTTTTCATAAGTTCCTACTTTGATGCGCGCACGCTGCATTTTCAGTAGTTGTATGATCAGTTTTTAACCTAGCCTACTGCAATTTTCAGGAATTTAATCTTGTATTAACTATACATCTTTTTCTGAAAAAAAGTTTGCTCTACGCGCATTTCGGCCTATTTATAACACGCGCCCTTTATATCTTTAATATTTCAATTGTCTGTTTCAATCCTGAACTGCAAAATCTGTTTAAAAACAGTGTACTTCCTTTAATTTCATGAAAAATTTCCGCGCGTTTTAAATTCGATTTTTTCTGTGCGCGCGCGCTTTTTAAAAAGTTTCTACAGATAATTATGAATTGTAATCCACAATAATTTCATCTGATTAAAATGATTTCAGTCACCTACAGATGGAATTGTTGTAGATTAAAGAAACAAAAATGCGCGCGCACGCGCACTAAATGAATTTAAAACATGAGTGAATTTCTTCATGAAATTAAAGATAGTATAGTGTTTCTGAACAGATTTAGCAGTTTAGGATTGAAACAGACAATTAAAATATTTGCGATAAAAAGGCGCGCGCGCTATAAATGAAGAAAAAACTATTTTAAATTCATGTAACATTTAGATATATAAAGATATGATTCATAAGTAATTTGTTATTAAATTTTTTTTTTGTGTATAATCAAAATTGTAGCAAAATTCGAGCCATTCTCACCAATAATTCAAATAATGCCAGCTAGTAGCGCGCTGGTCAGAGTGGTCAGCTATATATGCTTTACTATTGAAACATTACTAGGATTATAGTATAAAAGAATTGGCATAGTTAAAGAAACAGAACTGGCAGGTTTGTTTGTGTATATGAAAAAGGGTTTTCTTATCCATGGCTGGATGTTTAAATTTAAAGGAAGTTAATTTTTTACCAACAATTTTCAAAAAAAAATTTCTCTCAAAATCCGCTGATTTCCGTTATGCCAACATTTTTCTTTTTAAAGTTAAATGTTCATATTTTGCTCATCAATTAGGCCCATGACGACAGAAATGTGCAAATTTTTCCCCATAAGTTTAAAAATAAGATTTTAAAATTTTTTCGCCAAAAATAGTTTTTTTTTTTACCTTCTAATTTCATCAAAACTTCCAAACTAATAAATATTTCATAATAATTTTAACCCAAAAATATGCATATATTTTCGAATTTTTTTCGAGATGAAATTTTTGAATTTTTCACATGCCTGGACACATAGCGCTGCCATTGGTGGAAATTCTGCAAGTATAAATACAGATTTTTCCTCAATAGTCCCTTTAAGAAGACAAAGAACCCGGATTACCTGCAGGACAGAGCGTTGAACATATCGAAGAAAACAAAGCAGGTAAAGGTCATCGTAGTGTCCCGGGCGGTCATCTTTCCGTCCTCCATCATCTCCTTGAACACGTACAAGGTCCCGCAGACGATGATGACCGCAGACAAGACGATGTTGATCAAAAGGTCACGAGACAACATGGCTTGCTAAATAAAATCAAACATAAGCAAATACGAGAAAACAGATCCGAGTGTTTGTAAAACACTTTGGAATTGTATCTTTAAAAACTATGAATTTTTTTTGTACAATATTTTTAGAAGTTCAATGACTTTGTCAAGCATAATTTTATATGCGATAAATATAAGTTAAGGGTTGAGGGCGGCAGGCCTAATAGTCTAAGAGTATAATATTTTAAAACATGACCACACAAATAGACAAAAAATAGTTTTCATCGAACTGTATACCCCGGGGATGAGGGTAGTTAAGAATATATCGCCTAATAGTCCCACCTTTGTATCTCTTGGAGGTTTCTTCATGATATCCGGATCTGCCGGCTCCACCCCAAGGCTCTGTGCCGGGGGGCCGTCCATAATTATATTAATCCAGAGAATCTGCATAGGGTTCAGAGGGTTGGGGGCATCCATTAACGTTGACAAGGTGATCAAGGAGAGCGCGGCAATACTTGTGCTCATCTGAAATCGGACAAAGTTCCGAATATTGTAGAAAATAGATTTTCCCTCTTCAATGGCGGACAGGATGGTGGAAAAGTCGTCGTCCAGCAGAATGACGTCACTGGCCTCTTTGCAGACGTCAGAACCGGACTTACCCATTGAGATTCCGACGTCAGCACATCTGACCGCCACGCCATCGTTGACACCGTCACCGGTCATAGCAACAATAAGATTGTGCGCCTGTAATATAGTAATATTAGTAGTAATAATTGATTTTATTTAAAAAAAATTTATTTAACACAGAAACTCTTTTAGATATGTGTTATTATTGTTTAAGTCCAGGGGCGCATTTTCTCTTCCATTTTTTTTTTTACAATTAAACTATGGATAAAAAAACCATATCCTAGTAGAATTTTGGCGAAGTTTTGTTACCTGAAGCGCCTTTACAATTCTAACTTTATGTCTCGGAGTGACCCTGTAAAAAACAGAGGCCGACTTCACCACCGTCTTGAGGTCAGCCTCACTGAGTCGGTCAATCTCGGATCCGGATAACGCGGAGCCTCTGGCTGTCGATTTATCACTTAACAGGCAAATTTGACGAGAAATTGCAATTGCTGTTTCTTTGGCGTCTCCAGTTAGCATCAGTGTTCTGAAAAACATAATGTAGAACTGACGACACAGCAGCGCAACTGACGTATTTTGCTAGGGAAGATAAGGGCCTTTTTTTGATTATCGAATCCTGGAAGCTTTATGTGATGGCAATTTCACCAATTTCACCAGCTTTTGACGTACATGATGAAATCTCTAAGATAGCCAGCCCCCCCCCCCCCTCACTCCAAAGGTGCAACTGCATATCTAACGCAAACTATTAAGTAAGAATGTAACACCTAACTACACTGCCATCTATTGAATAAAAATGAAACCTGACTCCGCTCTCTGCTAGTGTGCTGATGGAATCAGGAACCTTGGATCTGGGCGGATCTTGCATAGCAACTAATCCAGCGAATACAAGAGATCCAGCTCCAGGACCGTACGCCAGGGCTAGTACTCGTAGTCCTCGGCCTCCTGCGATCAATAAATCAATCAATCAATCAATCAACCAACCAACCAACCAACCAACCACATTCATAAACACAATGTTTCATGCTCTTTGCAGTCTTGAATAGGAGCTTTATAATACTATTAGAATAACGTTATGTAAACCAGCTTAAAGCTGTCTAAATTCTCCTGGCCTCATGCTGCAATGATTTTACATATATCTATTTAACTTATAGTTTTTAAAGTATAAGTTTTGCACAAAAAAAAATAAGATTTGATTTATTGTTAGAAACGCTAATTTAAGTTCAAGATTAACCTAATTCTGCGGCGTGTCTGACCATGTCTGCCGGCACGGTTGACCCCTCTAGGGGAACAGGTTGACCATGCTGACGGTACAGCCTGCATCTACTGAGTACACCTTCCAGAGCACCTTTCATGTACTCACATTTTCCCGCATTATTCTCAGTGTTCTGAACGTTGAATAATAAACATTAATCATTAAATATGTTATTTTATTAACAGGGTTAGACACTAGGATGAGAATTCATAGGGTATAGACGATTGGGATTGAGATTTAGGATTGGGATCCGGATCCGTTGGATCCGCAACATTTTGGCTTCCTGGATCCGGATCCGCAAAAATATGCGGATCCACGGATCCGGATCCAAGGGAATAAATGTAAACCAAAAACTGCAAAAAAAACTTTTTTACTCCTAAAACCCAAATCCGAACTTTTGCAAAAAGAGAGATTATAAAAATGGTTCATCAAACTTTTGGATAAAAATAAGCGAAAAAAATAAAACAAAAACTTTGAAATTTTTTTTTGTTAAAAAAATCAGTAAATATTAAAAAAATGACCTGGATCCAGATCCGGATCAATTTTTTTACAGTACGGATCCAGGATCCGGATTCGGATCCGCATCAAAATTAAATGGATCCTAAGCACTGGACGATTGTATGAAATTTGTTTACTCCGTTTTCTTGCATTCAGGGTTCCTTGCAGGCCAAAACTGTCTTTATTTTTGTGCTTAATCATTATATAAACCATTAAAATACTTCTTAAATATAAAAAACCCAAATTCAGTTCTAAGGATCCATTTAAATTTGATGCAGATCCGGATCCTGGATCCGCACTGGAAAATGGATTCGGATCCAGGTTATTTCCATAAAAGGGAGGGGGGGGGCACAAAACGTATTACTCTCCGGAAAATTTAAACAGTGGTTAAACATAACTTAGAATTGTCGTAGGAGGCTGATTTTTGCATGCAAACTCAGAATTATGTATATTATGTGCATTTTTTGGTTTTGAAGGAATCTGAGCAAAAGTGCGCGCGCGCGCGCTTTTTGAGAAAAAATACGACTTTTTTGACAGTAAATCAATGTTAACTTCATTAATTGCACTTGAAAATTTTTCCTGACACTCTTGAAACAAATATGCGCTAAAAAAATTCAACCCCAAAGGCTTAAATGTCCGCGCGCGCGCGCAATAAAAGAAAATATCTTTGAATACTTATGTGCTAAGTTTGGCCCAAGTTAGAATAACAGTTGCATGTGATACATCAAACTATAGCAAAATTGGGACAAGGAATTCATTTCCGAGGTCAAAATAAACATTGGAGCATTCTGACCGGCGCGCTAGTAGCCAACCATTACATTATGGGTCATCTTAGTACATTTTTTACATGTTGTATGTCGATTTATAGGTAATTTGGCATGAGGAATTCATTTCTGAGGTCAAAATAAATATTAGAGCATTCTGACCGGCGCGCTAGTAGCTGGCAGTTTCATTATGGGTCATCCTGTAATATGTTTTGCATGTAGTATGTCGATTCTGGGGTACTAGAAACAAGGATTCTCTTTCTTAGGTAAGAAAAATTAAGTTTCAGAACTCTGATCGGCGCGCTGCTGGCCATAGGGTAATTATGGGGTCCACCTATCATAGTTTTTCTAAAGTTTGCTCAGGTTGTATATCAGGGTTTAGGTATTAGACCACAGGAATGAAGAATCCATCTAGGTGGAGTAAATCACAAGCAGAGCATTCTGACCTACTGCTTTGTGGTTTATCCTACCAAATTCGAGGACATAACGGAAAGCATCTTTAAATTGGTATATTACCATATTTCTTAGAATCCAGGTCACAAGAATCTGAAAAGAAACAATTTAAGCATGTTTGATATAGAAAATGTATTCATTTGCAGGGTCATTTCTGAAATCGACGAAACACAGGGTTTGAAATCTTGAAATCCCGCAATCCCTATTTGTCGACCATCATTCAGCGCTAAGCGGCATTCAACTAATTACGAAGCTACTAGCGAGCCGGTCAGAATGCTCTAATATTTATTTTGACCTCAGAAATGAATTCCTCATGCCAAATTACCTATAAATCGACATACAACATGTAAAAAATGTACTAAGATGACCCATAATGTAATGATTGGCTACTAGCGCGCCGGTCAGAATGCTACAATGTTTATTTTGACTTCGGAAATGAATTCCTTGTCCCAATTTTGCTATAGTTTGATGTATCACATGCAACTGTTATTCTAACTTGGGCCAAACTTAGCACATAAGTATTCAAAGATATTTTCTTTTATTGCGCGCGCGCGCGGACATTTGAGCCTTTGGGGTTGAATTCTTTTAGCGCATATTTGTTTCAAGAGTGTCAGGAAAAATTTTCAAGTGCAATTAATGAAGTTAACATTGATTTACTGTCAAAAAAGTCGTATTTTTTCTCGAAAAGCGCGCGCGCGCGCACTTTGGCTCAGATTCCTTCAAAACCAAAAAATGCACATAATATACATAATTCTGAGTTTGCATGCAAAAAATCAGCCTCCTACGACAATTCTAAGTTATGTTTAAGCACTGTTTAAATTTTCCGGAGAGTAATACGTTTTGTGCCCCCCCCCTTTACTAATTTTTTTAACAAAGCAAAATTTTAAAAAGGTTGTCTTATTTTTTTTCGCTTATTTTTATGTTAAAACTTGATGATATGGGGATTGAGAGTAATTTTATTGAAGTTTTTGTTGATATTTTACATCTTGGATCCTGATCAGTGGATTCGCATATTTTTGCGGATCCGGATCCAGGAAGCCAAAATCTTGCGGATCCAACGGATCCGGATCCTAAGCACTGCTTTAAATCGTCATATTTTTAATGTTTTGTGTCGTCTATAAAGCCTATTCTTTGTGGGTAGCCCTGTTATTATAAATTCCTAAACATAATGTCCGGAAGTAATTTTGAGGGAATCGAATTATAGAACCCCGAAAAACTTTGTTTTGGAAAAGAATATAAGTAAGTTTAGGGCTGAACAGCATTTGCTCTTGAAATATTATTTTTGGAAGGTCCTGTTTATTTTCATTAAATCTAAGGCGCAACAAAATATTTTTGGTAAAAATAATAACGCATAAAAGTTTTAATTGCAATTGCACTTGGCATATAAAATTTTCATCATTTTACATTTACAGTAAGACTAATACAAATTTGGAATTGGAAGACGACTGTTAAGTGTTGAAATACAACATGTGTGCGGTGTTCACAGACCCATTTCACTTTAAAGTTTATTTTCAAGCTATAGATAAAACAATTTCCTTTATGACATCAAATGTCGTCTCTCTGTTACACAGCTTTATGGGTCCTACCACTAGTTTTAATAAAACATTTTAATATAAAATATTCAAAAATAATAAACATGTCTTACCTCGCAAATAACTGTCATCGTTTTAGTCTCCGACGAAAACGGAATTTCCTGGATTGTCTTGAACTTGCTCCGGAAATCTTTTCTTGAAATTTTCCCCGCCATACTGAGCAGCGCGCCCTCTGTAGGCTGGCCGCGCAGCACCTCCCCTGCTATGTGCGCGTTGTTGCAGAGCGTGGCTATTTGAGCAATGATCTCGAGGTCGGACTGTGTGGCCTCGAAGTTCTGACTTTCGACAATATCACATCTTCCATCGGTATTATATCCCGTTCCACTTACCTAAACATTTCAAGTGTAGAATGCGTGAAATCCTCGCCACCAATTATAATTTTTAATGTGCAATTTTTCATAAAAAATTAAATTAAATAAAATAAAATTAAATTAATTAAGATTAAATTCTGAATTTTTATCTTTATTTTTTGTCCTGGAAAATCAAGGATGCCAGCATTGAGAAAAATTAAACCCGATTATTATAAATATTACCTTAACTTCATCTCCACAAGCTGTTACAATTGTTGTTACCGTCATCTCGTTACAAGTTATAGTTCCTGTTTTATCACTGCAGATCACATTCACGCACCCGAGGGCCTCAACAGTCGGCAGCTTCTTGACGATGGCCTGCCTCTTGGCCATCCTCATCACACCAAGGGCCAGGGTGACCGTGGTCACTATAGGGAGACCCTCAGGGATAGCGGCTACAGCCAAACTCACCTGTATAGAATAATTTTTAAATTGATTGCGTACTTTTTAAAAAAACATACATTTAAAGAAATTTTAATTATAATTTCAAGTTACCCTCCATGCAAAGATATTAATTGGAATAAAAAATTAACTTATTCTGTTAAGAATATGTATTTTCTAACATCAAAGAGTTTGAAAATTAAATTTTCATCCAAACTTTCTTTAATTTTGTAAAAAGTTAAACCACTTGATGCAAACTTTGAATATAAATTTTACATCTTCATAAAAATATGAATTATTACTATTCTTAAAGGACAACCCAGCATTCAATGAAATAGGGGTCGGCGCTCCTAGCCGCTGAATCGAAACGAAAACAAAAAAACTTATAATTTTAAACATTTGCGCAGTATTTCTACAGCATTACACTTGTATTTACTCTTCTCTGTTTACAGATTAATAAAAATAACATATTTAAAACCTTCAAAAAAAAAACACATTAGATAAATTCAAGAAATTCTTCCTTCATCCAAGAAGTCCTGTTTACTTAAAGGGACTGTCTATGCAATTTCATGTGACCCTTTATTTACAACAGAACTCATATTTGAGTAACAATGAGGAAGATATCCACGTTATTTTGTCTTAAAACGAGTAGAAATCTGACAATTTCCTACATTATCAGCATAGCATAAATCCTGAAGTCATTTTTATAAAGAATCCGCCATTGGCAATGATCAATTTTTAGCTAATTGAACTAGGATAACTCATTCATCTTTGACCAGAGAAAGGTTATAAATGGATTCAATTGAAGTTACGCCTACAGTAACTTATAACACATACAGCCGGAAATTCCTAGAATGTGGCATGAAGCACACTGAGTTAACTTACCCCGATGTTAAACATGCTGAGCATCTTCTTCCCCTGTATGAGCCCGATGACCATGATTAGGAAGATGACCAGGAAGCTGTAGGCAGACAACTGCTTGCCCAGCAGGTTCATCGAGTTCTTAACATTTACAAGATTGTTAAATCCGATTTGATTCCGAATACCCGTCAACTCCGTTTTGATTCCGTATCCGCTCCGTTTCATTTAGGTTCGTTTCCATATCTGACGATTCCGTTTAGTTTCCGTACTGCTTAATTCTATTTCCGTATCTGCTCACTTTTGTTCCGGCAAAATTACATTTTCGCGTTCTATTCTTTTTTTTCGGTAACAACGGATTATTCTTAAACCGTATTTGTTCCATGTAGTTCTCGGATTTCGGCGTATTTTTTTTCCACACTTTTTTCTAAAGGCCTACCTGAAGGGGTGTGGGTGGAGATTCTTCCTCCGACATCATTCTAAAAAGTAATCTTTATTAGATTAATTTTAAGATTAACTTCAACCTGTAGTTGGAACATAAACAAAGCAATAACAGCGGCTTTTCGTTTTTAAGTAATTAGTTTTCAACTCGAGAATGGAGAAACTAAATTAAAAAATTTGAAAGTTTCTCAATTTCTCAATTGCTGAATTTTAGCTGTTGAAAAATTAGAAAAATACTTTTTGTTTCGAAAATTAGTAATTATTATCCACAAAAGCTCAAAGAGACGAATGTGTAAGGAACCCACGGGGGGATGGGGGGGGGGGAATTAAAGCTGTAAGTATTTACCTGAAAACCTGACCGAACTGAGTTTTTTCTCCAGTAGCAACCACAAGCCCGGTCCCCCGTCCCCCACTCAACATAGTTCCCATAAATGCTGGAAATAATACAATTAGATATTGACAGAAAAATTCATTAAAAATGTGGTTTTATAAAATCTAATTCGAACTTTTTATCTAATTTTCAGGATAAAGTATATATTTTTTCGTGCTTTTTAAAAAGAACATGAATCATTAATAAAGTAAGTTCCTTATATATTTATCAGCCTTTTGAAAAACATTATTCTTACTCCTACCACGCTATGGTATATTACTTTACAATCCCTTAGGACAAATGAACAATATAAAGTCTAACTTAGCGAAAAAAACCTAACAAATTATGTAACTACTGAAAAAAACTATTTTCAAAGAGGGGTGGGGGTGGGGGGGGGGAAGAAAAATTAACAGTTATGCCCGAATTGCCTAAAGAGAAACCAATACCTGTATTCTTCATCTGTGATGGATCAATAGATTCTGATTTCTGAACCGGATTTACATTTTTCCGAACCGGTTCTGTCTCCCCCGTTAGACTAGACTCATCAATAGAGATATCGAAGGAGGATATCAGCCTAAAAAACAAAAATGACTGATCTTAAACTTTTTTAAAGGACTTTCACGTCACCTTTTATTTCAGGAGTGTCATATTCGATTCACAACGTTATTTATCACTTACTTTACTTTAATGTACTTAATTTTAAGATAGGAAAACCAGGATATCTTCATCATTTCTGCGAAAGATCAAAGGGTTCCAATGTGAAATTAAATCTCATATAATATAATAGTAATTTCAAATTTAGAGAAGATATAGTTTTTGTGATTTTACAAGAAAATATGATGCTATAGAAAGGGACCTAGAAGAAACCGACCTAAAAGGTATACAAACTAATTACTGTGTAGTTATAATTTTTCACAAATATCGAGTTATTTTTACATATTTTTCACATTTTTAACCCTGGTCCAACTAAACCAGCATGTCTTTAATTTAAAGATATAATATGTTTTCAGGTGAGAATTTTTGTTAGGTCGGATCGGAGGGTCCAGGTTTTCATGTCGTTTTTTCTCTTCAAAATTCGTAGTCCGCTTATTCTTCGCAGTTGTTATTAAAAATCCCATTTGCTCCCAGAAAATGCTCACACTCCTCCTTGCTATGTAAACAAAGATACAAGTGTGTATATTTTCAATGAATTTGATGACCTGGAGGTGGGGGGGGGGGGGG